GGAGGACAGGAAGGGAGACTGATGTTTACTTATTTATTGTGGTGTGTGTGTGTGTGTGTGTGTGTGTGTGTGTGTATGTGTGGTGTGAGGGGAGTGTCCTTAGATAGAAAAAAAATAACACTTTGGGGTGAGGCTGAACTCCAGGTAGCCGCAGGCACCTGGCCCATCCTTTCCTTTTGTCTCTGCCCTGGCAAGGACAAAGCACCTGGTATTTGGAAAAGCCTTTGCTGCTCATACTGTGGCTATTTCAGGGGAAGTTAGCTAGAGAGAGGGTGTGAAGGGCTCTTCCAGATTTTTCTTTCTCACTATGTTTGGGGAGGGGCAGGTTCTTTAGAAAGAAAAAAGAAATCCCCCGAGTCAATGCCACATTTGCAAATGCTTTTATATCAAGATCTTCAAACTTAGTTGCTTTCCTTGTCTTTTCTTTTAAAAATTATAACAGTGCCCAGCTGGGCGTGGCTCAGCGGTTGAGCAGTCGACCTAGGATCCAGGTGATCGGGGTTTGATTCCCAGTCAGGGCACATGCCTGGGTTGTGGGCTCCATCCCCAGTCGGGGGCATGCAGGAGGCAGCCGATCAATGACTCATCATTGATGTTTCCATTTCTCTATCCCTCTCCTTTCCTCTCTCTGAAATCAGTAGAGATATATTTAAAGAAAATACATAAATAAAAATTATAACAGTAATGCATGCACATAGTGAAAACAGAGCGGAACAGTGTGGAGTAGATTTCTTCTTTTCCTCCCCACGTCTAGGCCCCCTCTACAGACAGTCGATGGTAGTGGTCCCTGCGTGCACACACACCGCATGTGAAGATACGCGTATACATAAAGTTTCAGGGCATAAGGACTGTGTTAGTTTGCCGGGGCTGACATAACAAAGCACCATAGGTTGGGTGGCTTAAACAACAGAAATTTAATCTCACAGTTCTGGAGGCTAACCGTCTGGAATAAAGGAATTGAAGAGTTAGTCTCTTCTGAGGCCTCTCTCCTGTTCTCCAGGGAAAAAAAGGTGGCTGTCTTCTCCCTGGGTTCTCACATGGTCTTTCTGTGTTTCTGTGTCCTAATTATGTCTTCCAAGGACACCAGTCACATTGGCTTAGGGCCCACTCAATGACCTTGTTTAGCCTTAATTAATTTATTAAGGATCCTATATCCAGATATCCTGAGATCCTGGGAGTCAGGATGTGAATTTGGGGGCTGGGGGGCGTGCGTGTGGAGAGGGTAGGATAACTCAGTCCAGCCCATAATACTGACTTACTCTTTTTAACTATGTTGTATTGTATAGATAGCCCATAATTCTTTATCCAGTCCCTGTGTATCTGGAAAGTAAGACTGTTTCCATGCTTGTAAACAGCCTCAAACCTAAATCTCTGTGCCCCTGTGGAAGTGTACCCGCAGGACGAACTTGCAGAGGAATTGCACGCATTGCTTGCCAAAGAGATCATCTTGGGTGCTTCTTGAGTGTGTCATAATTTCTTGTGGAAAAGGAGAGTTTGCAGTATCTACAAATTAAAGCCCTGCTACTTTGTGATGTGTTGGTGGGAGAATTTCAGAGTGTGACACATGACTTGTGCATGTGGCCCTGTGGGGTGGGACTGCCAGCCCCTTTGTTTGAAGTGTTGCCATTATGACTTCACCATACACTGTTTGTTCAGCATACATTTATTGAGCCATTAATGGGCACTGTTTTCATTTCTCTGTGGTTATTATTTTAAAAGAGACTTTAATTTTTAGAGCAATTTCAGTTCACAGCAAAATTGAGAGGAAGGTACAGAGATTTCCCATGTACCCCCCCGCCCCACACGTGCACAGTCCTCCCTTGTTATCCACACCCCTCACCAGACTGGTACATTTGTTACAATTGATGAACCTAGAGTGACATATTATTATCCAAAGTCCATAACTTACAATAGGGTTCTCTCTTGGTGTTCTACATTTATTTATTACCCTGATTTGTTCAGTAAAAGGGTTTGGCCCTCTATTGCCAGCAAGACACTGGCACCTGTCTTTGAGTTTGTGACTGCCCTGGAAGTTAGGCTGGCCAGGAATTATTCCCGGTTTGAAGGTGAGGATCAGGGGAGTGACATACTCAGAGTAAAAAGCTGTAAGTAGCAGGGGCTGGATGTGAACCCATTTTATTCTACATTTTGCTTTTCCAGAAAGAGGTGGTAAGTCAGCAGGGCTGTGAGATTTTTCTAGAGGTTAATATTACATTTCCTTTATGGACGCTGTTTTGAATTTCTATTTGTTCTACATATCAGTGTTTATTTAGCTAAAGATAATGCATTTGTACCCTTGGTGGTTAGCATAGTTGGCTTTGATAAGTAACTTTTAGGCTACTAGAAAAAGGCTATTGGATTTTAAAATTAGGCGTGTGGGTGTATATGTATGTCTATCTATCTGTCAGTCATACCATAGAATTATACAGTGAAAGTGGAAGTAAGGAAGTTTGAAAAGTCAGAGCCATAGAATGCCATGTGACCTTAATAATAGGATAAGATTAAGCCAGTATGATTTTCTTTTCACATTTTCCATAATCACATCTCTCTGTCATTGTTTATCTGTCTTTAAATGACCAGGTATGCTCACATTATGTATGTGTCTGTACATTTTTCTCATCTGTGGATATATTAAGTTTACATGTTGATTCTGCTGTGGGAAGGTTCTGTCATGGGAAGAATTAACTGCTTTAAACATGTTTATTTTCCCCAATAGGATATTTTGTTTATCGCATTTGGATTTGATATACAGTAAGGCTGGTTATCTAAGACCACAGAACTAAAGAGTTAGCAACCAGTGAAGGAGGCAGTTGGAAAAGAATTTGGAAAGCTGAGGAGGAGAGAGACAGGGCTCAGAGAGAAGGAAATGTGAGCATGTGAGCGGAAAGAAGTTAGTAAAATTGGGGATAGAAGACGTGAGTGAGTGATTGTAGAGGAAGGTGGCCCATAGGAACACCACACAGGCAGTAGTGTTAGGGTCCCACTGGTGTGGCCTGTTAGGTCAGCCCAAGTGGCGTTAACTAGTCTTACAAAGCAGCAGCCTAACCTTCTGAAGCAAGAAGAGTCTTTTGAGGAAGGTGACTTGGAAAACTGAATGAAGGTGGGGAGAGTACATTAGCAAAATTTAAAGTAATAGTAAGGAATGTCCAAGGGCTCAAACAACGGCAGTTTCATGAGGTAAATGAAATAACTTGGGAAAGACTACCTTTCCCAGATCTGTCATAACATCCTCATGATTACAGCCTGTCTTAAACCTGTTTATCTATGATCTCTTCTCATTGTAAGTGATGTTTATAGTGAGGCATTCTAATGGATGCTTGTTTTGCAGCTATGCAAGGTCTTGAACTTCCTTCCAAATCATTATCAAGAGACTGAGTTATTAGGTTGTAGGTTTTATAGAGACTATAGTGTAATGCATGTAGGTTAAGTTGTTATTTGCAGTTTATAATAATCCCTTTTGTAGAAATCACTCCCTAACACCAGATGTGTCTAATTAGGTCCAAGAGACCACAGCATAAGCATAAATACTGTTACCACCCCCACTTTATAAATTAGGAGTCTTAAAAGGGTTAGTAACTTGTTCATGGTTAGTAGTTAGGTGGAAGACCCAAGCCCCAAACTTAGGCAGGGTGGCTTTAAGCTTCAGCTTTCCACAACACTACACTGTTGCCCTATGCTCTACTAAAGATCTCACTTCCTTTTAGAGCAGTGGAAATACACTGTGTGATATTTAATGCTGGATATGTATCATTTGTCCAAACCCATTGACTATACAGTGAACTCTTAGTTGAACTATGGTCTTTGGGTGATTGTGATATACCAATGTAGGTTCATTTGTGGTTAAAAAAAAAAAAAGTACCATTCTTGTAAGTAATATTGATAAATGGGGGAGGCTCTGAATGTGTGGGAGAAGGAGTATATGGGAAATCTCTGTGCTGCCGTCTCAATTTTATTGTAAACCTAAAACTACTCTAAAAAAATAGTATTTAGAAAGAAAAAAAAAATAACACCAGACCCCCAACCTGGAAACTTAATCCCTGTTTTATTTAATATCCCCAAATTATGTCTAGTTGCACTGACCAATAAAGCACAATCAGAGATTTAAAAAAAAAAAAAAAAGAGGGAGCCCGGCCGGCGTGGCTCAGCTGTTGCGCATCGACCTAGGATCCAGGAGATCGAGGTTCGATTCCCGGTCAGGGCACATGCCTGGGTTGCTGGCCCAATCCCCAGTTGAGGGTGTGCAGGAGGCAGCCAATCCATGATCATTGATGTTTCTATCTTTCTCTCCCTCTCCTGTCCTCTCTCTGAAATCAATAAAGATATATATATATTTTTTTTAAAAAAGCCTGTTTCTCCAAATGAAAGGTGCGTGCTATTAGTGGTACAGCAGGAGCTGTGCGCTCCTCTGTGCCCAGGCCCCACTCATTACTACAAGCTTACCATTAGGGCATGAAGCTGTTTAAATAATGCACAGGTAAGAGGCATCTATTCCCTATGAGCTGCAAGTTGGACGCTCCCATTATTTCCTGCAGAGGAGGATGGTTGCGGACATACATAACCCTTACAGCCCAGCACATCCCCAGGCGTCCAGACAGTTCATTCTTTTGTTCTTGGTATTTTGACAAGTCTTTTTCTTGGGCCCGTTTCCCTGTTTTTCATGTTTTCCTCACCTCGCTTTGGCCTTTTTCTAGTTCTTGGCTTTTGCTTTTGGCTGGTCCCAGAAATCTTCATTTTGCCTTAGAGTGATGATGATAGTGCTTCAGGCGAATTGTGCCTTTTCTGTGTAATTATTGGGCATCTTCCAAGCCTTAATGCTTGCCATTAAAGACAGCCTTAGACCCATTTTGCTGAAAGCTTTGTTCACATACTAAACTGTTCCAGCGTGTTCTGTGGGCAGGATGGCTCAGAAAAAATGGTAGCCTGACGGGTGGGCCGCGGCGGGCTGGGGCTCGCGGGCTTGCGACGCAGCGGTTCTAAGATGCCCTGTGTTCCGTTTCCAGTTGGCCTGCTGCTGTGGCTCCGCTGGCTGCTCCCTGTGCTGTGGCTGCTGCCCCAAGATCCGACAGTCCCGGAGCACCCGCTTCCTGTACGCGCTCTACTTCATTCTCGTCTCCGTCCTCTGCTGCATCATGATGTCCCAGACCGTGGCCAACGAGATGAAGGAGCGCGTAAGTCTGCCCGCTTCAACTCTTCTCGCCTCTCATGGTTGATGAGGGGGTGTGGGAAACGGCCCGTTTAGCAGATGGGCCCACCCGCCCCAGTGGGGTTCAGGGTTCGGGGTTCGGGGTATGCTCGCCCTCTCCGAACCTTCAGGGAAGCCTCTTCAGTGCTTTCCTGCCCAACAGGGGAACCAGGCAACGTCCTGATCTTTAGTAGCAGCATGGGTGCAATATGATGCTGTTGGTGGAGGGGATTGTGAGTTTTGTCGTACTCGTTGATAGCCATTCTGATTGGATGCATAGTTTTTTCTTGTTGTAAGGATGGCTGGAAGTAGCTGTTATAAACACTTAATTCGGCTTATATGGCCAGTATTATAAAGCCTGTAATCATTCTGCAGATCATGAGGCAGCTATAGGGCGATTTTTACTTTTCTGGATATGTTACTTGTAGGGTGACTTGCAGGGTAGGTGTCTTCGGAGGTGAGGATGGATTTCAGCCATTTCTCAGGCTGTGCATGTATGTAGAGGTAAGCCTGGTATGTGATGCTGATAGAGACGCATATAGGACCTTTTTCTGGAATTTCCCCATAGTAGGCCTCTTAATCAGCCAGATTACGAAGGGTAGGGATGTCTTGGGGTTTTTGAGGGAGTCCAATAAATAACACCATGTTTCCCCTCCCAGGTTCTGAACAAATTAACAAAAAGACTACAGTGTCAGCAGGTACATGCCAAACGTCACCTTTCGCCTCACAGACCTGATGTGAGACAATGTGGATTGTACCTGCAAGGAAGTAGGCTTCCTACTGCTGATCCCCAAAATGAGTCAGACTTACCCAGCTCCCTTCTAAAGGAAAGGGGGAAAGGAAAGGCGAGCTTTTCAAGCCCCATTTGCCTTTACAGCCAAGTGCTCCATGCTCTTGGAACCCCTCCCATAAAGGAGATGGCATCCCCACAAGCAACTCCGAGGAAATGTTCATTCTCTCCAACCTTATGCTGAAACTACAGACTATTTTAAATACACTCAGGTGCATCAAAACAGCCATTTTTTTAAATGCACTTGGTATATTCTTGTCCATTAGTTAAAGTAGGCCCTTTGAAGCTTTCCGATGGGTAATGCTTTTATGATTGTGGTTGTATGGTCTGGAATATACCAGAACTACTGTTCAAACCTGTGAGATGAAGATTCCCCTCTGATAGCTCCACACGGTGGATCTCTGCTCGGTCAGGCACCTCAGTGGGAGCCATGGGGCATTCGAACTTGTGAGAAATGGAGCTGATAATTCAGAAGACAAGGCATAAAGTCTCCTGAGGCATAAAACAAGGTGAAAATTATTAAGTACCATATGAGAGCAGGCACAAAATGCTGTTGAAGTTTGAAAGCAGGGAGACCAAGAACTAAGGCTGCCTCGTTAGTCTGTACCAGGTTTCACTCCATCTTGGTGGTGTTTTCCATCCATTCTCTTCCTCTTACCATGGTTTAATCTTCTATGTTTGTGACAAGAAGTTTAAGAGGAATACTGAGAGGGTAGATTTAAAAACGATTAAAAAAAATTGTCTTTTTAATTGATTTTAGAGAGAAAAGAGGGAGAGAGAGAAACTTCTATTGGCTGCCTCGTACACACCCCACCCTGGGGATTGAACCCGGGTATGTGCCTTGACTAGGAATCAAACCAGGGANAAATTTTTTTTAAATTGATTATAGAGAGAAAAGAGGGAGTGAGAGAAATGTCTATTGGCTGCCTCTTACACACCCGATCCTGGGGATTGAACCCGGGTATGTGCCTTGACTAGGAATCAAACCAGGGACCTCTCGGTGCATGGAATGACACTCAACCAACTGAGCCACACTGGCCAAGGCTAGATTTTTTTTATAATGCTCACTTGAGGATATGTACCTGAGGATATGTTTATTGATTTTAGAGAGAGAGGAAGGGGGGGGAGAGAGAGAGAGAGAGAGAGAGACATAGATGTGAAAGAGAAACATCAATTGATTGCTTCCCTTACGCACCCTGACCNTGTGCATGGGATGACACTCAACCAACTGAGCCACACCGGCCAAGGCTAGATTTTTTTATAATGTTCACTTGAGGATATGTTTATTGATTTTAGAGAGAGAGGAAGGGGGGAGAGAGAGGGGGGGAGAGAGAGAGAGAGACATAGATGTGAAAGAGAAACATCAATTGATTGCTTCCCTTACGCACCCTGGCCAGGAATAGAACCTGTAACCTTTTGNTTCCCTTACGCACCCTGACCAGGAATAGAACCTGTAACCTTTTGCTGTACGGGACAATGCTCCAACCACCAACTGAGCCACCCGACCTGGGCTGACAGGGTAGATTTTAATTCTTATTCTGAAGGTCCACTTAACCGCCCACTTACTACCTATGGTAACTTAATGTTCTCTTTAAATTCAACAAGGATTGGCTTGAGGACCCACTTGGTACTGTGGTAGGAACGCTCAACGTGGACCAGATGTCTATGGTACGAGCTCTGCTCTTCACTCTTGTTTTCAGTCTCAGTAGAATGGAGCTTTGGATCCAAGAAACAAAAATCTGAAACCATACAAATAGATGGTATCTCTTAGTGGTAAACCTGTCAGAAACATTGTTACTGGAGGTAGAGATAATTTGGGAGCCGTAGGTACATATTTTAGGATATGACTTTTATAATAATAATTTTAACATTTGATTACCATCCTAGTAACCTGTGAAACAGTCCAAAAAACTCCAGCCAGTATCTATGATTTCCGGCTAGAACACTTAAGGAACAGAAAATGTTGACTGGTGTTGCTAGGGAAGGCTTCACGGAAGAAGTGACCTGTGTGATAATAATGTCTATCTGAATTGCTAATACTTATTGGGTGATGCCATGTGCCAGGCTTTATTCTGAGCTTTTGTCTGTATCATTTCACTCATCGCTGCTTTACTCACCAGATGAGTCATTTTAGTACCTTGCCCAAGGTCTCCAGCTCCAAGTGGTGGAGTGAGGATTTGAACCCAGGTGGAATGTATTCCTAGTGACTAGACTATACAGGTGGGCAAGGGAAAAGACCAAGAATGGACACGTGTAAAAGGACAAAGAGTAGACATGAGCAGGGAAAATGACCAAGTCTTGCAGGGATTTCAGTGCTCAGGTGTGCCATTGTACCATGGGCTGATGATAAATGGGCAGCTGCTACAGATTCTTGAGTAGGAGGCTGTCATCAGAGAAACAGAGTTAGGGCGGTGAACCCGGCAGTGGTGTGTATGTGGTGTGATTTGGGGTCAGAACAGAGAGGAAGGGAAGGGAGAGAGAGAAGGGCTTCTTATAAATGGAAGCCTCATAGAGGCTCTTATAAATGTTTCTTTGGCTGCCCCCTGAATGTAGTTATTTAAAAATGGTTTGGCGAGGCTTCCTGCATAGGGAATGAGGTCCCTGTGGGTGAAACCAACCCTTTTCCATCTTTAGGGCCTCGCAGGAGGGCCGGCCAGCTGGTCACAAAGTCAGCTTGTTTCGTGGCCCGTAGAAGAGTCTGACCTCATCCGCAGGCGGCGCACGAGGGTGGGCGTTGAAAGGCCCCCTCTGGGGGGCACGCGGCCTCTGCTGCAGCCTCGCCCCCCAGTGCTGGCCTGCGGGGAGGCCTGGGGCTGGGCCGGGAAGGGGAGAGAGCCTGTGTGCCTGTAGCGGCGGAAGGGAGGGTGCCGTTGCCGCCCACCCAGCTTTCGTGTGCCATGGACGGGGCTCTGTCTGGAGCCACGTGGGCCTTTGTTCTGCAGGTTGGGAGCGAGAGGGCAGCAACCTTTCCACTCACGTTCGGGTTTTGCCTCGGTTTCAGAGTGCGCCGTGTGTAAGTCTGAGCGGAGGGAACTGCACGCAGCTGCTGGGCCAGCCTTCGCCCTGCGTTTCCCTCCAGGACGCTCCTCTTTCCCCGGAGCGCTGTGGCTCAGAGGAAGCTTTACTGTGCTGGTCGAATAGGGCGTGATTTTTGCCTCCTGGACCGTTTTTCCATCTCAAACTGTGTGGGAGCCATTTCATTGCAAGTCATTCATGTCCGTAACCGTGTCACTCGAGCAGGCACAGTCTTGAGATATTTGATGTTTAGGGGATTAAAAATCCATTTTAGAATGTGGCATGCCAAAAAAAACGGGTGAGATTTAGGCCTCCTGACCTGCGCTACCTCAGCATGTAACTTCTCCCTTTGGAGGCAGATGACACTTTGAGTTTTGGGCACCCTGGGTAGCTGCACTTTGCTTTGCGGGGAGGAGAAAGGACCTCTTGCTTTCTGTGGAAGAGGGGCCTCTGAAGCCAAGCCTGCTTTGTAAAAGCGAGGACAGGTGATGATGTGGCCCTCGGGCCTTCTTGCCCGCGAGCTCAGTACACAGGGAAGGTGGGAGGCGCCTTATGTATTCCTAACTTGAAGCATCTTCGGTCCATTATCTCTTCCACGTTGCACTTGATCCCTGGGCTGCTCTGATCCATCGACATTGGTAGTAAGTAGGTAGTTCCTGAGATGGCTCCATCTTTACATTTTAATTTTTTTGGAACCAAAATGCATCTTCCACAATTTGGAAGACTTTTTTTTGTGTATCGTATGTTTATTTTAAATTTAAGTTTTGAAGAATTATTCCTCGTATTGGGAAAAGAGGCCACTAAGATGTTTTTTTTTGATACCATCTTTTTCTTGGCCCCTCGTTGGTTTTAGGAGGCATTATGTTTTGTTTCTAATCCCACCTGATCTCTTTAGGAAACGTGTTTTATTGGACACAGCATTCTCTGCGGGTCCGGGTCAGGTTTCCTTTGAGTGGTGATGTGGAAACTGCCCTCCTACATTGGCTGTTCTCTCCCTGGATGAAAGAGCTTTTTGGTTCTTTTCAGCACAGGGTGATAATGTTGCAGGGAAGAGTGGGCTTCAAAGGAACATTGGGCAAGACTTAACAGGATCCTGATAAGAGGGGGACTCATGACTGCAGTTTCCTCTGTGTCTTCAAAGTAGCTCCTGACTTGCATTCTCTCCCTGGGCTTGATGAAAG